GTTTGAAGCAGAGCTATTTATTTGACAAGTCGAGGGTTGAAGTACCATCAGTGCCATCAAGTTAATGTTATACCTACCTTCCTAACAATATTTTCAGGTATTAGTCTCCAAAGCACACTCCTAGTTTGTGATGATAAAACAACGTCATCAACTTCTAAGAAGATACTTCCCTTCCTAGGTGGTAGGAAAGAGAAGCAAGCATCCATTTGTTAGCTTTAAAGCACTGACATAGCAGAAGTATTTCAAGAAATCTTTTACTGAAATCTTTTAAAATATTGGAAATAGAACCCATCTCCACTATTGAGAATTTACACTCATCTCTTCCACTTATTTATATTTATAATAATATTTTTGATTAATCTGATAATAGTTTAATACAGTTAATTAGGATTGTAAATAATGAAATGTAATAACAAGATTAGAACATCTCACTGAATGCATATAACAGTAATTCTGTTGACAATTTTCTTTACAAGAAAAACAGTTTTATCTATCTCTATGTTACAAAGCCTAATAGTTTGTTTAATAGTAGTGTTATATAATATTTTAGTGATTTTTTTTTAAGTGCATCTCTCCTGTGGTGGGGAGGAGCGTTCAGGTAAGTAGTGATAATATTCTGAATTTGTTCCTGGAGTAGACAGACACACAAGCTCCCAGGCTACATCAGGAAGACTTGAGCAATGAACCAATTTTTTTGGCTTTATAAAAGTAGGTGGGTGTTGGAAGTGAAGTCAGGGTAACATTCTGGGACATTGGTCTTAGGAAAATGTTTTGAGAAGATCTTTAAAGAAAGAAAGACAACCCAGTTCACATCAAATAAAACGTGCAGTGAAGAAGGCTGAAGACAGAATAGGAAAAAAACATTAAGCCTGAAAGGGCAGAAAATGAAGAGTTAACTCAAAGAACAACAATAAAGGACAAGGGAAGAGTGAGGAGACAGTGGCTCAGTTAGGGAAGAGACTTGGAGGTGAATTGAGGAGCTCAAATTCAGAGAGAGAGAAAAAAGATAGTGAAAGATCCATCTGGTGCTAATGCTTTGTGGCAATATGCAAGTTGAACCAATACTTGCAATTCGTTGTGACAAAATACGTCTTAAACCTCCCTTTCTGGGCACAGGGCCTTACAGCTTCAGTGGTGATCTGAGTAGTATTCTCTCCTGAAAGGAGACCATTTTAAGGGCACATTACTAAGAAGAACTGATATCAAATATGTGTTTATTCCATTCTCTTTCATCTCCTTTGTGTGGACATTGGAAGAATAAAGATGAGAAAATACAGTGAAAGTGAAGAGAGGGAAGACAACTGAGAACAGGAATATATTCATGCAGGAAAAATTGGAAAGCTGCAAAAAATGGTATGCTAGTTCCAAACACATGGTCTCAGAATGGATGAATTTAGGCACCTTAAGTACAAGAATATAGACATTTTAAGTTATTGTTTATGAATGAATAGTATGTAGTAAAATATCATGATAAAAATCCTTATAAGAAAACATATTTTCTGCAAAGCTATTTTCAAGTCACAGTGACAGCAGGGGTGTAAGAAGGTGATTAACATATTTTGTGCATCTACTATGTGCCAACAAGTGTGCTTTATACATATGGTCTCTTTTAGCAAAACTGGCAGATATTTGCTAATCTTGTATCTAGATAGTCTCCACAACCAACAACAAATGCTTTTCTTTATGCTGTAAGCATATAACACTTGTATAATGAAAAAAGCATCTTGTTATATTCAGCAAACTATTTTTCTTAGAAGTTGTATAGAATTCATCTCTTCCACTAGTCTGGAAGTCTTCACACATCAGCTAACTTTATTGGTTATATTTTTTGTCTATCTGTCATGACTTAGTGTCCCAAGATGACATTTGCCTGTAGAAAAAAATTGTGAATGTAGATACAGTTTCAATTATTCTTTCGGATGACAATGAAACTCATTCAAGGAGACTAGGTAACTTCTTCTGCTCCACTTCAGAACCTATTAATACTAAGAACAGAAACCGTAGGAACAAAATATTTAGAATTCTGGAAATTTTAACTCTGGATTAGAAAGATAGAAAGTTGATTTTGGTGACTCCCACTCTAAGAAGCACATGTTCATTCAGTGATACACAATGCTAAGAGCCAAGAAATATCAATCCCATTTACTTTTCAACTCCAGTCATTTAACTAATTTTATTAAAATAAAATTTATGCATATCAAACAGTAAGTTTATGTTGTATGTTTTTAAATTATAATAAACCATGAAAATGAAAATCCTGCTCATGACCGTTATTGATATGTTTGTATTTTGGTGTATTTTAAACCACAGTTTTATAACTTTTTGGTTTACTTAATGTTTTCTTGTATGAGTAGTAAAGGCCGTTGTAACCTAATATCGGCTATATGTACCTTCCAAAATTTCACTTCAGCAAATATTTATTGGGTGCTTAATATACCTTATACTGTTAGTTACAGTTCAGTCTATCATATATAGCTACAGGTCAGCACATTAGATGGTAGAAGTGAATCTCTCAGTTTTTCTGTGGTTTCCTCATTTGATCTATTGAAATGATGTCTTCAAAACAGCTAGGATCTGTATGAACTCAGAGAAATACGAGCCATGTTATTCACTGGGGACCTTCTTTATGTTCTATGTGCCACGCAGTTGTGTTTCCAGATTCACACTGTGGTGTACCCATGGATAGATAAGCCAAAATGAGAAATGGATGTAAACTTGTGGATTGATTAAATTTGGTCATGCTCATGAAAATATCCACAGGTTATCTGTGCCTGGGTTTGTACAAATATATTGGACACATTTGTTTTCCCATTCAATTTCCTTAAATGTTTATGTTAAATAAGGCAAAATAAATGGCAGTTTTATTTGATTTTTGAAGTTTTTGATGGACATTGAAAGTTATGATTGCTATGCGCGTATTGAGATGAAAGAGTTAAGGATTTTTATACCTTTTATTATGGCTGCTATTAATAGCAATGTTTGTTCAGGGCAAACTTGTACAAACATACGGAGATCTACATATCCATAGGACATAAAGAGCCGGATATATTTCTTTCGTGGATATTATGTGAATGAAAATTTGCTGTTCTCTTTGCAGCATTATGGAAGAAGCTTTACTAGTCCCCAAGGAAAAGTCAAAATCTGCATTTAAATAAAGATATTAATAACTTGAGCTAGGGCTCTCTTTAGAAAGCTGTTAAGTGGTTTAAGATATTTTGTATAGGTAAGAATGTGAAGTGAATTGCTAATGACACATACAGAATGATTTTGAAGGGCTCATCTTTTGTCATTTATCACATTGTATGCAGTAAATTACTAGTTACATTGTAACCTGAATTCTAATAAATGTATTATTCAGGAGTTATTGATAGAATTTTAATAGAGATATATACAAGTTTAGTTTCAGTATGCATTTATTAGTAGTATTCGTTGTAATAATTCTAACACATTTCTATGTGGATTGTGTCTATATATATGCACCAATAGAAATTTAAAAAATAATACCTTCATATTATTAATCATTCATATTTACATTAGCTTATTGAAAGTAAGACTAGCAAATGTTAACACTGCAATTCCCACTGCGTGATAATTTTTTCAAGTTTTGCTATGCATCTCCTTTATTTTTTTATTGAAATCTCCAACAACATAACCTTCAAAAATTGCCATATACATAATTATAAAACATATAATTTCTTCCGTAAGACTCAGCATCTCTGTGAAATCCAAACGAAGTTCAAATAGGCTGCCAGAGTTTACTATCTTCGATTGTATATGAAACTACAATCGTCAGTTGGAAGCTCCTCAATTCCCTGTTGCAAATAAATTGAACAAAAAGTCAAAAATGTATAAGAGGTACTAAGAAGATCTTGTGAGTTTGTGATCGCGTATTAGTATTTAAAGGGAATAAATATAACTAGACATCATACAGTTTCAAATAAAATAATAATGCACTGATCTTTTATACTTTAGGAAATGATTCAGTATTTCATTTAATTAACACCACTTAGGATAATTTTTTAAATATATAGTATATAAAAGCTTTGCTCTCAGATTCTTTCCTCTCATTCAGTGCTTTCCGAGTTTGGGAAGATTCTAACAATAAGACAGGCTTGGATGCTTAAACCATAAAACTTGATTAGAAGGTTCTTGACTAGAAAAAAAAAAGATGTTAAGATGAGAGCTCTGGAATCATTTTCAGTGACGTGGCCATGGATGCCCGTGGTCAGTTACTTTAAGTAGGAAAATCAACAAGGCAAAATTGATGTAGTCTAGATTCATTTTTCTTTCTGACAAAGATGAACTACATTTCTATTTTAAATGAATGAAAATGTTATATGAAGAATTATAATTTGGGAGAACCACAAAATAACCCAGATCTTGACTCAACACAGTTTCCCTTCCCTTATTTTACATATTTCTCTGATAATTGCAGGATGGTTAGGAGGATCCTCTGGAGCTAGATGCCCAGGGTTCAAATTCCACTCTGTCACTTGGTCGCTATGTACATTTGGACAAGATACTGTAACCTCTGTTGCCTCGGTTTCTCAACTGTGAAAGAGAATAATAATATGGCCTTCCTAGGGCTGTGGTGAAGGGTAAACATATTCAACATAAGCAAACTGATTTACATTGTGTCTGGCACATAGAATATGGCATTGTGTTAGTTATTATAATGGTAAAGTAAAAATATATCAACGATTCATAGCAAAGAATTACACAGCCACAAGTTGATCGACTTGGGATCTATTATAATGAAATTAACATTATCACCAAGTTTTCTTTTTGCAGATTCCTTGAGTAAATCTCGGTAGCAGTAACCCTTTGATAAGAAAAACAGCAGCTCTGTAAGTTCAATTAAATAGAATTGACTGTTTTAGCTAAACTTGTAGGAGCTGAGTAACTGCTAAGAATGTCTTTTTGCTTATTTCACAATTGGTTCTTTTTGTTGTCAAGGTAACGATTTAACAATCACCTTTTTTCACTGCCTCCCTCCCCTCTGAAAAAAGGCATGTACAAACTGATCAGTCCTTTTAAAACTGTAGCTAAAAATATGAGGCAGAAAACACAGATTGATTTTTGTGCAAGTAGCAATTTTTTTAGGCTCTAGGCAAGGGTTCTATGGTGGTCTCATTTACAAGGTAAGGAATAACTTCCCCCAGGTGCTGAATAGAAGTACTTTCTTCATACCAGATATTAACAATTGAGCATTAAAAATGGCTGCCTTTTATTGAGTACTTATTACTGACCATCTGGGTGCTTTATCCACTTCACATGCATGTCTTTAAAAAAAGGTAATGGTTCTTCTAAATCACCTAAGGATCAGATATCATGTGTCCATTTTATAGCTGTGAAAGTTTAGACTGGGAGAGAAAACCCCTTTGTCGAAATTTGCACAGTGAGAAGTAGAGCTGGTAGGATTTGAATCCAGTCACATGTCTACACGGTCTTTAATATTGATTTCTGTATGAGCTTCCAAACGGCTTTGGATTTCAAGACCCGTGTACAGACACGCGCAATCCTGCTTGGCTTTTTCCTCTAGTTATTTATACGATTTCATGTTTTTAGTATTTTGTACCTCATCGTGGAGCATAGAGACGTGTCTGTGTATGCCATTGAGTGAGGTCCTGCTTAGGTGAGCTTTTCTTCACAGTTAAACTGACCCAGATTCTTGTAAGTCACCAGATACTCTTTAGGAATATTGCACTTTTCAAAGATGCATTAACACTTTCAGATTTCCAGAGTATTTTAGTGACTGTTGGTAATGTACTTAGGGAATTGAGTTAATGCATCTTATATAAGTGCCTACATTTTAGGGAGTAGGCACTGGATAAATATGGCACACCATGTGTTGGGTATGCATATGTACTAAAATTCAACAGAAGGATATATATAATTCTAAGTATAAAAATACCTTAAGTCATTCTGTTTCTTTTTGGATTTTATTTTCTTGTTATTTTCTCTTTCTCATCTATATGAATATATCCATACCTACAGATGTCACAGCTCAAACTAGCAAGGAGGGTCTGTCATATTCTTTTAGTTATGGACGTAATTATACTAATATAGACATGACATTAATCAGTACTCGCCTAGTCACTTAGAACAGAAACATTCCTATGAAACAAAAAAACAGAGAGGAGAGAGAGAGAAAGGTAGAGCTGGCGGATTTCAGGAATTCACCAGAGACCACTGTGGAAAGTGGACAAAGTCTAGAAAGACAGGCAGACAGTGTAATTCACAGTATCACCCCTCTGTCATTAGCTTTGAAGGACGATGAAAGTTCCCCTGTCCATGAAACGCTGTGGCTGTCTTTATCAGCTACAGACATAGCAGATAAAACGTCCATGATAGAAGAATAAAAGAGAGAAAGGGTGAAACTAGAGAGAAAAAGACCAAACCATTAGGGAATGAGAAGCGTGCAGAAAGCAGTAATGTGCAGCTCCGTAGACGAATAAGAGGTCATCTGGGATACTACATTTTCCATAGTTTCAGTGTGCTATCATCACGCCTTGAAGAAATATTTTATAATTTTGAAAGTAAAATATAATACAAATTATCAGTGGCATAGAAGGAATTATATCAGTATCATGGATCGCTTGTAAGTCAAGAGAGAAAACGGATCCAGTTTGAAGTATTTGGTTACAATTTGAGCACTTTCCTTTTTTCTTTTTTCTTTCCTTTTCTTTTCCCTTCCTTCCTCTCCTCCTTCTTTCCTTCCTTTTTTTCCTTCCTCCTTCTCTTCTTTCTTCTCTTGCTTTCTCTTTCCTCCCTTCATCTCTTCCTTTCTTCCTAGTTTCTACAATTATTGCCTTTTGTAAATCAATATTAATATACTGTATATTTAAGAAAGTATCTGATAAGACAACATAATGTGCTTTTGTCATAGCAAATGTTTCTTTTTGTGTAAACAGGTATGTTACTATCCTCATTAAAACAAATTAAACTGTCAACTGTAACTGCATATCTAATTATTAAATTTATAAGCAGCTTTGAAGCAATATGAAAATAAATTATAATTAAATTTAAATAAAATGGATACAATGCAAGCTCAAAATGGTAATGAACATTAGCAAGACATTAATTAGCCTTGCAATAGAGATATTTTTGACCCAAATTCTTTTTAGGCCCCATAGACATACACCCAAGCATACACACACACACACACAAATGCGTAAACAAATCTTTTAGAAAGCATCCTCACTTACATTACGTTTTCAGAATAATGTTTTTGCATATATTTTTGCCCTAGTTTATCCTTCAGTCCTGTCTTTTTGGGTGCAGAATGACCAGATCTGGGTGAGTTTGCTTATAACTTCAGTATTTAAGCCTCTTTAGGAAGATCATAGAAGGATCTCAGAAAATTTCTCTATAGAAGGAGTATACTCAGTGTTTTATTCAACTCATTATCAATGTGAGATACTTGTAGATGTGGAAACAATGTGTGTAACCTAATTGTTAACACAAATTGTAGGTGCACAAGCCATTGAACAAAGGATTATTTTATCATCTATGCTTTTTCCATGAATAAATTGGGACACTAGTCAGAAATGCATGTAACTAGTAATGTGCCTCGTATTTGAGAGATTCATTTAATAGATAGTATTACCATTATCACTAGATTTGAGGCAGTGTATATATTGTCATGAAGTGCAAGGGATGATGAATCTTCTTTTCAAAAACTAGAGTATGAGAGTGGTTAACAAAAATTTGGCAATGCTGAGAGCCTCATTACTAGGTGAGTTAGAGAAATGGCAGTTATCTGTCTTATATTTTTAGTTTATTCTCGATTCTATGTTGAGAATAGAATAGGTCATTAGAGAAGCCTCTGAGATGATGGTGGTTTGGGCCAGGGTGGTGGCCATTGACATACTGAGAAGTAGACTGATTCTCAATTGATTTTTAAGGTAGAGCATTTCCTGACAGACTGGAGGTAATATGTAAGAAAAACAGGAAGGATGATTTGAAGGCTTTTAGACTTTGCTTCTGAAAGAACATGGTGCTGCCATTTCCTGGGACGAGAAAGATTGCAGGGTGAACAAGGTGATGCTTGGAGAAGAATAAAGTAGACCTGTTTGGGACATGCTAAGTTTAAGAAACTTGTGAAACATCCAATTGCAGATATGGACGAGACAGTTGGATAAATAAATCAGGAGAGGACAGCGAGCAGTACAAGTTTAGATTTCAGAAAAGAGAGGCGGAGGAGAAAGTACGATTAGGACTTAGAATTGGCTATGGGATTTAGTAACAGAAAGATCACTGTTGACATAGGGAAGAGAGGTTTCAGGGAAGAGAAGTAAGCATGAAAGATTATTAGAAGGGGCTCATAAGAGAATAGAAAGAGATAAATTGAAGAAGCAAGTATAACCAACTTTTGAGAATTTTTTGCTACAAATGAGAACAGAGAAATGTGATAATTGGACTCAGATGAAGGATCAAGATAGATTTTTTGTTTGTTTTTGTTTTATCTCATTTTTTTTTCTTTTCCTTTTTCTTTTTCGGATTGATGTGATCCCTTCAAAAGAGAATGTAGATGGTACTGGATAGAGGGATAATGACTGGAACAATGTTCTTGAGTTAGCGACAGGGAGTAGTTTTCTAGACCACAAGGGATGGTTTCTGGAGCATGTCCTTAGAGGCATGGGCAATTTAGTCATAGAAACAGGAGGGAAGACTGAGGATATGGACACAGATGTAAGTTGGCTGGCAGATGTTGGGTGCTTCTGCTTTCTCAGTGAAATAGATAGCAAAGTCATCATCCAAGAATGAGGTTGAGGAAGAAGGTGTTGGAAGTTTGAGAAGAGAGGAGAAGATATACAATTCCTAGTGAGTAGATTTGGGTATTTTACTCGGTGTGGAGGATCTCTCCAAGAATCGCAAGAAATCAAAAACAGAAACAGTAGTTGTCTTTGTGGAGGAAACCTGGTGAAGCTGAGGGTTGGGACTGAGGAGACATCAACAACTTTTTATTGTGTTAAATTTAGTCTTTTCATGCTGTTTGAATTGCTTTTACATGTGTACATATTAAAATATAGGTAAACATGTAAAAGAAAATATGAGCTTAGATATTGTCTTTTGTGAAGACTTTTGCTGTGTTCCCCAGGTTTAATTAACTTCTCATTGCTCCCTTGGAGCATCACATTTTAAACTAGTTAGTTTTCAAAACAAATGTCCACTTCTCCATTGGATTAGGAATTTTTTCATGTTAGGGGGCATCATTTATTAAACCGTTTTTAACCATCATCCTCTCTGCAAATCCTGAAACAGAGTCAGTACCAAGTGGTGAGTGAGTGAGAGAGATCTTTTGAGGAACTTGGTATTTCTTTAAGTTATCTCAAGCACATTTAAATTTAAACAAAATTGTGAATAATTTCAGGTACTCTTATCCATATGTCGTTCCTCTTGGTCTAATGTAGTTTTTCTAAAATGTGTTTCCTAAACACCTATATTAGAATCACCTGAGATACATGCTAAAACAGTTTCCTGTCACTCGGTATATTAAATCATTATCTCTTTGAACACAAAAGTTTGAAAACCACATTTTTCCATAGGAAGCCATTAAAGGAAAAGTAGTGGTGATTACATATCATTTTAGAAAGATTACTTTTGAAGTAACATTGAGAATAAATTCACTCCATGGGAGTGGGACTTTTTAGAAGCTACACTGCCTGTCTTAGTGTGGGGTCCTGAACCAAGGCAAAGAGAATGGAAAACACAAGTAAGGTCTGAGAAATCCTTAAGGAGGTCTTCAACTCTATATAGGATTTGGGGATTCAAGAGATATTCAGTGAGTGAGGGAATGGAAGACTTGAAAGAATCTTCTGTGAACCTAAGAAAGTTTGGATGAAGGGAGGGAGAAAAGTGAATTTTACAGAACCGAACTGAATCAAAAATTTTGTCGAGAGATATAGTTGCATTTCTGTGAGAGAAAAAAAGAAGAATTTGCCAATATTTCAAAAAAGTAATTCTAGAATCTAGGTTCTATATTTTTGATTGTGAGAATTCTTTATTTCTCTTGGTGAACTTGGTGCTTCTTGAGAAACATAACATTTGACTTAAGGCAACCTTTCTTTACTTACCACCTTGTAAGGACTTTGCGTAAGAATCTAATGCTATTTCTTTCCTTTAGCTTAGGTGAGAGCTTATTGAATTTATTATATTAATACATTTTAATAAAATATCTTGTTGGCTAATACAGAAGAGCTTTCACTTAAAAACTTTTACATCTATTTTATGAAGATAAATGTAGGCATCTAATTTCTGTGGGATTATTAAGACAATAAAAGGAAATTCAGTACTTTTAATAATAATAATAATTTCACAAATGAGGAAACTGAGGCACAATGACACTAAACAACATTTCCAGTATTAGAGTTAGTGGAAAAGCTTAGTTCAGGGTTCATCCTTCTGTAATACTTTTGTTACTTTAAACTAAGCAAAGCATGAGAAAGATTTTTGATGTGAATAAAACTAGACGGTATACTGCCTACCTTAATAGTATAATTATTTTGAAGTGTATAAATCATACTAATTGAGCTGTCACATATACTTACATTCTACTAAAATTCATTTAATGTGTGTTTAACTGGCAATTTAGTTGCAATCCAAAGCTCAACTACTTAGTCTGAATCATTATAAATACTGATAGATTCAGGTTATGACAAGATTTAAATAATTTCTCACGTCTTTTTTTTGTCATCAAAATTTCTATGTTTAAATTCCTGAATTTATTCAAACATATTTTGGTCCCCTCTAACATTCTTTTCATCATCTGAAGTTTGGGAACGTCAAGATTGTATTAAGATCATCCGAGGTTACGATCCTGATCGTTTGGATTTCCACAAGCTGTTGTTCTGTTGATGCTGCAGTGCAAATCAGGGCTCCTTCTTGCTTTTACATCACTCAAGTCACATTTCCCCCAAGATGCTACAGATGTATAAATTGCTACTGCTGAAACTTCACTTTCCACCAGATGTTCAAGGAAGGCTAATATGCTTTCACCCTAAATAAGGCTTTCTTGTTGCCTTTCTATAGAAAATATGTGGTAGAAATAATAAGATGGTATCCTTAATGAAGGCAAAGCTTGGTGTGGCAAAGTAGAAGGGGATGAAACATTAGCTGCGATATATTAGACATATCCTTTGTAACTATCTCACGTGAAACAGAAGTTAAATCTTTGAACACAAGAATAAAATTTCTAGAAAACACACCAATGTTAAGATACTTGTCCATTTCTAAATCTTCGCTTTCCTAAGAGTACCACCCAAATTTAGGAAGCTGGACCCAAGCACTTTCCTGAAAATTGTCCACGTGCAGCCCCTTATCTGGAGTAAACGGAAAAGTAACAGATTTGTTCCTTTAAGCATGTCCAAGCCTTTGATTACTTCTATTACTGCAGAGTCCCTATATCTGGCTATTAAATTGTGCAATTTTCCTTCATCATAGAGTCGGCTGCTTCAGGTTCAGCACAGTGTACTCCGTCTTCTAATTCCAGTAAAGTCAATTATATAAACTCTTTTGCTTTTACAAAATGCTCTTTAGCACTGGCTCCCTCATAGCAGGCAGAGCCAAGCAAAAGAGAATTGTGAAACCTTTTCAGGTGTAGCTGTGTTCTGCTCAGCAGGTACATTTATTACTAATGGGTAAAATAGTCTCCTTTTTTAGCTACATAATGCTTCTGAAGCCTTCCGTTTTCTGGTTTTGATAGACATTCCGGTTACACTGAGAGAGGACGGTGAATACCATTGATCACACTATGAAGCTGCCGCGGCAGCACTTGTTTTTTTTATCGTTCGCTTTGCTTCATAAGTCAGTGACTGAGCTTGGCCTAATGGGCTGATTTGCATTGTATGCTGGGGTCCTCCTTGGCTTAAACGCTTGAATCTGCTTACTGGTCTGTGCAAATACTTATAATGAGAGGAGACTCCAATATTTTGGTTTCATATTTACAAACTAAATGTTTGAGCAGAGAAGATTCCATCGATCACTTGGGTGTATGTAGTGTAGAACAGACATGCTGTGTAATTCTGGCATCAGTTAAATTTAAATTCTTAATGCTGATAGATTGTTTTGCCTCCCCCCCTCCGCAGCACCTACTTATATATAAATAAGTAATACAGAATCATTCATAGATTCATGGTTAGCTTACGCCAATACCTGATAAAACGTTCTTTGCTAAATGCCTAATTGTACCTTTGAGGGAAATGTGATGATTTAGGGGGGTAAGGGGAGAAGATCGTGTCTTCTGCTGGGTATATGATATTTCTGCCTCTGAGCACTGTATTTTCGTGCCTGCTCAA